GAGTTTCCCAGAATTACCAGTAGATATCAGCAAAAACCATCAAGTCATATAGCCTAAATAATGATTTCCAAATGTCAAATCGTGTTGCTCATGACTTTTTATTAAGGTAGTGTAGTTTGCGCATCAATCTCCAGCCTATCTTATATTATGATTGCTTCATCTTTTCCCACGTTCCAAACTGCAAACAAGAGTTTTTTATGATGAGGTTAACCTGGGACATAGCCCTAGTTAGAGGTAAACTCTCTGAACTGCCCTCATATCTTACATAACAACTATTCCTTGACTTTTAATTGTGTTCAGTGGTTTCATTTAGGCTGAAATTATCCCATTTGAATAGATATGAAGATGTTAAATCACATGCAACATGTCCTTCTGAGACTGTTTATGACCATTTTATTGATGTTTATTCTGGTAATAGAATAATAGAATAGGCTGGGGTCCACTAGGGGCCTCAGCAAACTTTCAAGAGAGGCCAGAATTATTTATTATTATAAGATTATTATATTAAAAATATATAACTAATCTAAATTAAAATCTAAAAAAAAGAAAACATAAAACCAAACTTAAACTTAAATCATATTTCTTTCTCCACCCCCCACAAAATGAGTCATGGTTAATCAATTTACGGTAATATATCAATACTTATTACTGTTCATAAAGTTTGAAAACAAGAAGCTTTTTCAGAATTACAGCAGGAATATGGAAAATACCTTACAGTAAAGAATGTTGAGAACCAATGAATATTATTGAACGTATAAAATATGGACCAAGTGCAACAGTAATTTGTGCATCTGCTGTGATATACCTTCTTAACCTTCCTATTACATTTCCTATTTGAAATGTAGGCCTACAAAGACTGACAATAAAGATGTGGATTAAAGCACCGTGTCCAAAGGTTGGTCATGAACTCCGCAAAAATAAATAATCCTTTGACTATTGTGTAACAGCAAAGATGACCTTTTTCTCAATGAAGTCTGGCCCTGCATGGATATTATTTTCCTTCGTCATTTACGGTCTTTTGGCAACACGCGCTAGTGTTGATTTGGCTCAGCGAGAACTATGGCTCAGCAGGATTACAAAAAGCTTAGTGACAAACTGATCACGTACAAAGACACTGTCTTAACTTTGGATCCGAATCATGATGTTACTCCAGAGTATATTGACAGTTTAGAGGATTTCGAAACAAGGGATGATGATCTCTTTGTTGTTACCTTCCCGAAATCAGGTAAGTGAAGACAAAATAATAATAATAATAATAATAAAAAGCCAAAGAGTAACCTATTTCAGAATTTAAGTAGCCTACGGCATATAGGCTACTTTTTTAGCAGCACGTAGCTAAACATCTAAGGATATGTAACAGAAATATTTAATGTAGGCCTATTATATGCTTGATTTTACGCCGCTCTCAGGTACGGTATGGACCCAACGGATCATTACTTTACTATACGAGGAAGATTTCCCGGACAAAGCCAAACAAAGCACGTACGAGCAGATGCCCTGGCTAGAGTATCGTTTGAAGGGGGAAGATTACAACACTCGTCCATCTCCAAGACTCTTCTGTTCCCATTTACTCCAGCCGCTGATGCCCAAAGCGCTGCAAAGAAAAGGAAAGGTGTGTATGCGTTCATCAATCAATTAACAAACAGCATTGACGTCATGCACAGTTTTTAATAAAAATTTTTGATGTCAGATCATCTACGTCATGAGAAACCCTAAAGACGTCATGGTGTCATATTTCCATTTTTCCAACAACATGAAAAACTTGGATTCTTCCGAGAGCATGGGCGAGATGCTGGAAAAATTCTTCACAGGATGCAGTAAGAGCCAAAACTATCATGTTTTACATAACAGATACTTGTTACTTGTATGTATGTATGTATGTGTTTATATATATAACCAGGTCTTGAACCTTCTACAAAGTCTGACACTAATGTTGTGTCTGGTTTGTAGTGATTGGTGGCCGTTGGTTTGACCATGTTAAAGGATGGATTACAAATAAAGACAAATACAGCATCCTGATCCTTACTTATGAAGAAATGATCAAGGTGAGACTGGTTCAGATTATGATCATCTTTCCATCAAGTGTTATTATTTCTTTTCTGATGTTGTGGTCGGTGGCTATTGGTATCTGTAGACTGACCAATGATATGAACAAACCTTTTAACAGGACCTCAGGTCTGTCATTGTGAAAATCTGTGAGTTTGTGGGGAAGAATCTGTCAGACGCAGCGATCGATAAAGTGGTGGAGACAGCCACGTTCAAACACATGAAGCAAGACCCCTTGGCCAACTATGAATCCGTTGTTCAGGATGTCACGAAAGATCCAACAGGACTTTTTTTGCGCAAAGGTCAGATAAAAGGTTTGGATAATTGTAGCAGTGTCCAATTAATCTTAGAGATATAAAGATATAAACGGAGAGCTTTTTTCAAATTGTCACTTCATGATCCCAGCTAAAAGGGAACATTCTCAGAACTTGGGCTAATTGTCTTTAACGATGATAGAATGTTTGTTCAAAGTTATCTTTAATAATGTTCTCAAAACATTATGTTCAAGGGGTCACAGTAGACTTTTGTTAAAAGTAAATTATTAAATGTGATAAGTGACACATCAGCGGTGGTGGAATAGGATGTTATATTAATGTTTTGAACCTGCCGTGTTACAGGAACAGTTGGGGACTGGAGGAACTCTTTAACAGTGGCTCAGAGTGAATGTTTCGACCACGTGTACCAAGAAAGAATGAAGGACGTACCTCTGAACATGGTCTGGGACATCTCAGAATTACTTGGCTGAAAACTCAAGTTGTGACATTAATTTTAAAAACTATAAAGATATATGTCACGTTTTGGTTTTGTTCATGTCATGCCTCATGTCTGCCATGTGTCTTTGTCAAGTTTTGTTTCACTGTAACCTCTGTTGTGTAAATTCATGTCTTAATTTTGAATTTTTCATGCCACGCCATGTTTTTGTTTTATGTTTGGTTTTGTTTGTAATAAACTGCACTTCTTCTTCTGTACAACTTGCCTTAAGTGGATTCCTTGCAATATAAGACTATCACAATAAAAGGAAGGCATAATGTGACTAGATGTCACCATATCAAAACAGATAACTAATGGAGGTTGAAGAGTGTGTACACTATAATTAACATTATGTAAAATATGGAAACAATATGAATTTGCAGTAGCCTATGTAATTTTCAGCCAATTTGATATTTAATAAATATGATCATATTTAAGTTTTTTCCGCTTTTATGTTGTAAATGTAAACATAATTCTGGTAGTAATAGCCTATTAAATGTTGGTTGAATGCAAATGTCGAAATAAATTTACCAAAACATAAAACTTTGAAAGTTTTTATTTCATGTGTTTGTGTAATCCTTTTCCAAAATGTAATGAATTAATTTACAAAGCTATCGTATTTAATGTATAAAATACAGTATATAATATTCATTTTCACATGTCTCCGAATACAACTATTTTGACAGAATTATAATTAGCCTGAGGACTTTTATTTTGATAGACGTTTTGTGCAATACAACATGATCCTGAACTGTTCAATTATTCAGACTCTGGGCCTGTCCAAATACCCCCACATGCGGTCTTGAGCTGCGTCTAATCAGGACGATGGAACCGGAAGTGCTAAAATGCAAACTCGTTTGTCTACAAAGTGATGTCATACCTGCACCACTACAGTTTTTCACATACTATATACTGTATGTCACAGTTCATGGATTCATTGACTCATTCTCTCTCCCTGTGTGTGTTAGCACTTTTGTGCTCTCTGACTTCTTTTCTTCATTCCCTGCTGGATTTCTGTCCTTGGCTCCCTGGTCGTTCTTGGGGTGACTCACGGAGGATCTGGCTTTGCCCATTGCTTCCCTGTAAACACAGAAAACCCCATGCAAACACACATTGACCGACAGAAAACACATGCTATAAGACCGTTCGGACCGAATGCAACGATTGAACGAACATTCTTTGGTCCTATACGCCTTCCACAGACGACATATATTTATAAAAATACTTTTAGACCGTTAAACAGAGTGATTGCTATCATGATATGAGGAGACTTTCAACCAGCATAACAAAAAAAAAAAAGATTCTGCAGGGAATCACCTATGGCCCCTTTAAGCAATTCTGCTTGATAGGCCTTGAGTACAGACACCTGTCCAGCGGCCATGTAAGATTTCCCAACCAAAGCGGAAATAACCCTACGCAAGTTGGAGCCGAAGACGGCGCGAGATGGGCCGCAAGAGTCTCTTCCACAATCAGCATTGCTGCCTAGCCGTGCTCCGCCATTTTAGAAATAGTGGCGAAATCAGCGGCCACGAGATTCGTGATGTGCGCCAAAAAAGGCTGCTTCCAAGACTTCGAAACCTCGTGGTGGAGGTCTTGGAAATAGGGGAGAGACCTACGGAGCTGGGCTGGGGTCGATCATCCAGCTTCGACTGGGCCTGAGATTGACTGGGCCACGAAAGATCGCTGCGCTGTTACACTACGTGAACTCACTCGAGGCCCACAGAGAAGGAAATAAATAGTTGAATAAAGTCGTTTGTTTTTTGCGCACAAAAAGTATTCTCGTTGCTTGATAAATTTAAGATTGAGCCACTGTAGTCACTTGGACTATTTTAACGATATCTTTAATAACTTTTCTGGGCCGGCAAGTTTCACTTCCTTAGAAGCCTATGGAGGAGTGATCCAGCTCTCAGATTTAATCAAAAATATCTTAATTTGTGTTCCGAAGATGAACGAAAGTCTTACGGGGTTGGAACAACATGAGGGTGAGTAATTACTGACAGAATTTAGATTTTTGGGTGAACTATCCCTTTAAAGCACAGAGTCCAAAGGTTGGTCATGAACTCCATAAATAACCCTTTTACTATTGTGTAACAGCAAAGATGACCTTTTTTCTCAATGAAGTCTGGCCCTGCATGGATATATTATAACAATTTTCCTTCGTCATTTACGGTCTTTTGGCAACACACGCGCTAGTGTTGATTTGGCTCAGCGAGAACTATGGCTCAGCAGGATTACAAAAAGCTTAGTGACAAACTGATCACGTACAAAGACACTGTCTTATCTTTGGAAAAAGATCATGATGTTACTCCAGAGTATATTGACAGTTTAGAGGATTTCGAAACCAGGGATGATGATCTCTTTGTTGTTACCTTCCCGAAATCAGGTAAGTGAAGACAAAATAATAATAATAATAAAAAGCCAAAGAGTAACCTATTTTAGAACTTAAGTAGCCTAAGCAAGGCATATAGGCTACTTTTTTAGCACATACATTTCTAAGGATATACGTATAAGTGAAATGTTTCATGATGGCCTATTAAATGCTTGATTCTCAGGTACGGTATGGACCCAACGGATCATTACTTTAATATACGAGGAAGATTTCCCGGACAAAGCCAAACAAAGCACGTACGAGCAGATGCCCTGGCTAGAGTATCGTTTGAAGGGGAAAGATTACAACACTCGTCCATCTCCGAGACTCTTCTGTTCCCATTTACTCCAGCCGCTGATGCCCAAAGCGCTGCAAAGAAAAGGAAAGGTGTGTATGCGTTCATCAATCAATTAATAAACAGCATTGACGTCATGCACAGTTTTTAATACGTCTTTTTGATGTCAGATCATCTACGTCATGAGAAACCCTAAAGACGTCATGGTGTCATATTTCCATTTTTCCAACAACATAAAAAACTTGGATTCTTCCGAGAGCATGGGCGAGATGCTGGAAAAATTCTTCACAGGATGCAGTAAGAGCCAAAACTATCATGTTTTACATAACAGATACTTGTTACTTGTATGTATGTATGTATGTATGTATGTTTATATACACTCACCGGCCACTTTATTAGGTACCCCATGCTAGTAACGGGTTGGACCCCCTTTTGCCTTCAGAACTGCCTCAATTCTTCGTGGCATAGATTCAACAAGGTGCTGGAAGCATTCCTCAGGGAGTTTGGTCCATATTGACATGATGGCATCACACAGTTGCCGCAGATTTGTCGGCTGCACATCCTTGATGCGAATCTCCCGTTCCACCACATCCCAAAGATGCTCTATTGGGTTGAGATCTGGTGACTGTGGAGGCCATTTTAGTACAGTGAACTCATTGTCATGTTCAAGAAACCAATTTGAAATGATTAGAGCTTTGTGACATGGTGGAAGTAGCCATCAGAGGATGGGTACATGGTGGCCATAAAGGGATGGACATGGTCAGAAACAATGCTCAGGTAGGCCGTGGCATTTAAACGATGCCCAATTGGCACTAAGGGGCCTAAAGTGTGCCAGGAAAACATCCCCCACACCATTACACCACCACCACCAGCCTGCACAGTGGTAACAAGGCATGATGGTTCCATGTTCTCATTCTGTTTACGCCAAATTCTGACTCTAACATCTGAATGTCTCAACAGAAATCGAGACTCATCAGACCAGGCAACATTTTTCCAGTCTTCAACTGTTCAATTTTGGTGAGCTCTTGCAAATTGTAGCCTCTTTTTCCTATTTGTAGTGGAGATGAGTGGTACCCGGTGGAGTCTTCTGCTGTTGTAGCCCATCCGCCTCAAGGTTGTGCGTGTTGTGGCTTCACAAATGCTTTGCTGCATACCTCGGTTGTAACGAGTGGTTATTTCAGTCACTGTTGCCCTTCTATCAGCTCGAACCAGTCTGGCCATTCTCCTCTGACCTCTGGCATCAACAAGGCATTTCCACCCACAGAACTGCCGCTCACTGGATGTTTTTTCTTTTTCGGACCATTCTCTGTAAACCCTAGAGATGGTTGTGCGTGAAAATCCCAGTAGATTAGCAGTTTCTGAAATACTCAGACCAGCCCTTCTGGCACCAACAATCATGCCACGTTCAAAGTCACTCAAATCACCTTTCTTCCCCATACTGATGCTCAGTTTGAACTGCAGGAGATTGTCTTGACCATGTCTACATGCCTAAATGCACTGAGTTGCCGCCATGTGATTGGCTGCTTAGAAATTAAGTGTTAACGAGCAGTTGGACAGGTGTACCTAATAAAGTGGCCGGTGAGTGTATATATATATATAACCAGGTCTTGAACCTTCTACAAAGTCTGACACTAATGTTGTGTCTGGTTTGTAGTGATTGGTGGCCGTTGGTTTGACCATGTTAAAGGATGGATTACAAATAAAGACAAATACAACATCCTGATCCTTACTTATGAAGAAATGATCAAGGTGAGACTGGTTCAGTTTATGATCCCATCATCTTTCCATCAAGTGTTATTATTTCTTTTCTAATGTTGTGGTCGGTGGCTATTGGTATCTGTAGACTGACCAATGATATGAACAAACCTTTTAACAGGACCTCAGGTCTGTCATTGTGAAAATCTGTGAGTTTGTGGGGAAGAATCTGTCAGACGCAGCGATCGATAAAGTGGTGGAGACAGCCACGTTCAAACACATGAAGCAAGACCCCTTGGCCAACTATGAATCCGTTGTTCAGGAGGATGTCACGAAAGATCCAACAGGACTTTTTTTGCGCAAAGGTCAGATAAAAGTGAAAAATCAAGAGTTGGTAATTGAAGCACTGTAAAATTAATCTTCAAGATAAGATATAAACAGAGACTTCGTCACTTTCATGATCCCAGCTAACAGGGAACGTTTTCAGAACTTGGGCTAACGTTATGAGTTTCTAAGTTTCTCACAAAGTTATGAACAAACTTTATTTCTTTAACGATGATAGAATGTTGCTTCAAAATTATCTTTAATAATGTTCTCAAAACATTATGTTCAAGGGGTCACAGTAGACTTTTGAAATTATTCATTATTTAAAAGTAAATTATTAAATATGATAAGTGACACATCAGCGGTGGTGGAATAGACCTGTTATATTAATGTTTTCAACCTGCCGTGTTACAGGAACAGTTGGGGACTGGAGGAACTCTTTAACAGTGGCTCAGAGTGAATGTTTCGACCGCGTCTACCAAGAAAGAATGAAGGACGTACCTCTGAACATGGTCTGGGACATCTCAGAATTACTTGGCTGAAAACTCAAGACATCCATTTTAAAAACTAATAGATATATAATGCTATCACAATAAAAAAGGAAGGCATAATATATATATATATATATATATATATATATAGACTAGATGTCACCATATTAAAACAGATAACTGATGGAGGTTGAAGAGTGTGAACATTATTATTAACATTATGTAAAATATGGAAACAATATGAATTTGCAGTAGCCTATGTAATAATCGCCCAATTTGATATTTAGCCTAATAAATATGATCATATTTACGCTTTTATGTTGTAAATATAAACATAATCCTGGCAGTTATATCCTATTAAATATTGGTGAATGTAAATGTCAAAATAAAGGGCTATATTACCAAAACATAAAACCTTGAAAGTCATTATTTCATATGTGTTTGTGTAATCCTTTTCCAGAATAGTATCATTGAATTTACAAAGCTATCGTATTAAATCTATAAGATACATAATATTAATGTTTACATGTCTCCAACATAGACTGTAAGGTCTCCGAGTACATTTATTTTAAAAGAATTATAATTAGCCCAAGGACTTTTATTTTGATAGATGTTTTGTGACGCGCATGCTCAGTTCTCAAACTTCCACGTGCGTGCGGAACTAGCTTTTTTGCGCTAATATTAGTCTTCACTTGTCTTATTCTATACGTTTTGACATCTTCTGAGTCTTTTGACACTGCATCTGTAATGAACCTGTCATGTTAATATTTTCCTCGTTTTATCGGCATATTTGACTGCTGTACTCCGAGGCACAGGTAAGTGGATGAAAACAACAACAGAGTAAGCACGAGTATTTCGGGGGAAAAAAGCAATAAACGAATCTAACTTTTCATATAACGTTAGCTCTAACTATTAGTGAATGACGATATGACATATTCATATTGTCATGTACAAGACATACACAGCTGTCTTTTAATAAAGTTAATGGCTTCGCGCAGGGTTAGCATTCATAATATTGTCAAGTGTTACAGTTATACTTAAAACAAATATTTACATATTTAACATAATATATTGTAAAATGTCTTTGCACTAACATCTTTTTGTTCAATGCATCATTTCCACAGCTTATAAACAAGCTAAGTAAAATCAGGTTAAAAAGGACAAGAAGTAAAATGCCTAAATCAGCAAAGAAACTGACCAAAATGGAAAATCACAGTTCTGATGATGAAGAGGACGCTTTAGAGATGGAGAGAAACTTTGCTTTACTCAGTAAAAGGAGCGCGATGCAAACTTCAGCAGAGAATGATGAGAAAATTAGAGATGAAGAGGGATCTGCAGAGGATGATGAAGCACCTGAAGAGGATGAAGATGGATCTGCAGAGGTTGAAGACAATGGCATGGACGATGAAGGTGACTCAGGGAGTGATGAAGTTGACACAGGGAGTGAAGATGAAGAGTCCGTTAGTAACCATGAAGATGGAGGCAGCAAGGCACAATCACACAGGAAGGGCAGCATTAAAAGTGGTAAGAAGATATCAGATCTTTATGCAACAATTTTGACATTTAAATGATTATTAGCTGACCCTGTTTAAAAGAGCCATATTTACATTTACACGCATATCTTTGTGTTTGTACAGAATTATCAACCATGTCATTTGAGGAAATCTTAAAGCTACAGAATAAAGTCGGAACAAAAGTGTACAATAAAATCGCTTATGGTGCCACAAAGCAGCAGCAAAAAAACGAGCCCATGAAACGGCTAAATAAACACAGGTACACACCTATTGTTAAATGTTATAGTATTTATTAATATTTTGAATTAGCTTTTATTTGTATATTTTCATTATAATTTTAGTTTGAGTTACTTTCAGGAATTTGTTTGTGCTTTTGTAAAAAAATATATATATATATTCAAATTTTATTTTTTGTAGTTTTACTACTTCAACTTTAACGTTTTATTTCAGTTAGCTGCCAAGGCAGCATTTCTAATTTCCGTTTGTTTTTTAAGTTTAAGTTTTCTAATCTTTATATTTAATGTTATTTCAGCTTTATTTTAATAAACGAAAATAATTTTTTATTTTTTATAGTTAACAATAACAACAGTAACTTGGTAAACAGGGCTTCTTTTTTTATCAAAGTTTAACCACATTTGATCATTGTTTTTATTGATGTATCTCACTAAAAATAATCAAAGAATTGTTTATGTGAGTTAAAGTTATTTTGTCTGTCAGTTTGTGTATGTTTTGTCTAATCACTGTGTGTTTTGTCTTCAGACCTCAAGAGATTTCTGCAAAGAAACATGTGCCTTTCCTCCGAAAAGTGGTTCCTGTCAAGAAAAGGGTACGTTTCTGGAGTTTATTAAATTAATGGTTGCTCAAACTTATGCTTAGGGAGATTTCATTTTATGCTTTGTAAACAGATTTCAAGAGACCCTCGCTTTGATGACCTCTCAGGGGAATTCAAGCCTGAAATTTTTAATCAGACGCACAAATTCATCAATGATCTCCGAGAAAAGGAAGCACAGGTTTGTGAAAATGTAAAATGCTTTATTGATTCCTGTTTGTTTTCATTATGTGCATCACATTTATGTCCACTGCTATTTGTTTCAGTTAGTGAAGAAGAATCTCAAGACAGCCAAATCAAAAACTAAAAAGGGAGAGCTGAAAGCCTTGCTTAAGAGAATGGTATGTTTGAAATATACTGGGCATAAAGACTCTTTAAACTTAAATACCTTTAAGAAAGCTACATAAAACACCTTTACAGGTGTGTTAAGCTTAATATTGCTGCTTATGATGTGCTTTATATCTAATCTGTGTGTGTGTGTACAACAGGAAAACCAACAGAGGGAACGTCAGAGGCAAGAGCAGGATAGAGAAAAGGAACTTGAGTTCAAGCGGAAACAGAGAGAGTTGGTTGGCCAAGGACACAAACCCTTCTACCTGAAGAAATGTAAGTCTTTTCATCATGTTCCCTGAGTGTTTACATTGTTCTGATGTATTTATAATTCAAAGTTACTGATTATTTTGGAGAAGATTTGTTAGTGGAATGCCACGCTATTCCTACTCGGGTTTCTTTTGAGCGCCAGTGTTCGCAATTGTGCGTCATTTAACAAAGAAATATCAAATAACCTATATAATGTGCTGTGTATTTTTTTTATTTACAACTTCTTTAAAACCTCTCTACAGCTGACATGAAGAAGCTGGAATTGGCAGAGAAGTACAGCGAGCTGAAAAGGAGTGGAAAACTGGAGAACTTCTTGAGTAAGAAGAGGAAGCGCAATGCCACCAAGGATCGCAAAAAATTGCCCAATATGCGCTAAATATAACTTCATCTGTAGCATCTGTTGATTATTTGTCTTGGTGCGAGATGATACAGAAGGACGTCAGCTGAGGAGTTATTTTTGCTCGACTCTGATGTTTAAAGAGAACTTGAGGTTTAAATTTGATCTACAGTTTCACAAAACTGGATGCATGTTGTTTATAGGTTTGACAGAGATGCTTTTCCTAAATATCCATTGTCTTCTGTTCTTTAATTATAATGTAATGTTTAATGTTTTCTTAAAATAAAATCCTTAGATGTATTGTCGGACACCTCTCTTAATTCACCACTAGATGGAGCTACTGATTCTTTAAATGATCTCTGCATAATCCTTTTTTTTTTTTTTTTTTTTAACAATGCTCAGAAGTTAATATGAAGGAAACTATCTGAACTGTCACTGAATGATGTTAATCCAATTTTTTGACCTTAAGGGCATTAGACATAAACCTGTTTCATACAGACATCTGTCAAAAGGATGAGTCAGCTCGCATTCGCATCTGCCTTCTCAAAATCCAAAAATATTTTTCTTTCGACTAGATCATGACCCATTTAAGCACGGTTTGTCTTGGGCAAGGTTGTTTGTGGCAAATCCGCAGGGGCGTATCTTGAAATTGCTGTTATTAAGACGGAAGAAGCAAGGAGTACCTTGCTTGAGAGATCGGCGTCAGTTCCTTATAGTTTCCAGCTTCTCCACTTTGCTCGTAGCAAGGGTTTCCTAAACCTTGCAATCCTGGCACAAACACCCCTTGGTAATTAACGCCTCACAAGGGTAAAGCCCTCAATTAATCATTTAATTTACATTCTTGTGTAAAGGATGGGACTACTGTGGCTATATATCTTCTTAACCTGCTGGTCCATGCGCTAGAATCCATCGCATCCCTTTAGGGGGTGGAATTAATGCTGCCTGCAAATTTAAAGAAGGGCTTTATTTTAAAGCAGGACACTCCAGCTAAGACTTTCGTGTTTGAAACCATCCTTGCTTGAATACTGAACGGTGGATTAGTGGCCTTCTTTAACCTTGAGTTTTATGTCAGACTCATTCCCTTGCAGTTAAGTCCTTTCTTTGGGTCACCCGAGGCTTTTAGAAATCTTGTTTCCGGAATCTAAAGCACACAAACCCTTCCCTTTCATCCTAAATCTGTCTTGTGAAAGATGCAGTTGTATTTTCTGGTATTGATGAGAGAATCTGGTGCATTCGCTGAGCAGAACATTTGACACAGCATTTGTCAAACGCTCTTTGGCCATTGGGACACCCAAAGGAGTGATTGCTGAAACGCAAGCAGAGATCGTGGAATGCTAAACTGCGAACCATCACTCTTAATCTGCAAGTTAGGATATTGCTACCCCTTCATATGCAGGAAAGTAACCCAAGGCAACCCGAGGCTCCTTTTAGAAATTCGCAATAGGCACAGAGGACAGATTTGCATTTTATTACCAACTTGTCACCTCGTTGATGTCTTCATATTTATGGATATAACAGTGGAATGCGGAAGGAAAGGGATTGGAAAATGAAGCGGGCCAGCCACACAGCAGCTAAAGAAAAGCGCATTGACATGTACTATGCTCACCATGATTTTTCCAAGACGTGCTCCCAGATCAACTTTAGTTGGTCCTGGAATATCATTCATGTAAAAAATTAAACTCTTAAACCTATCCCAATCCACAACCAAGACTGGTGTCCTGAGCCTAATTCTTAACACCTGAACATAACTCTAACTTAACCCTGATCTTTTTACTTTACCCTAAAATCGAATTGGTTGATAGGAATATTGTTCCAGGACCAACAAGGATCCTTACTTTCGAGTCACAAGCGATTTTGATCTAAATAAAATGGGCTCACTGGACAATTTCTCTTCCTGATAAAGTCAGGAAGCCTTTTTAATGCCAGTACAACATAATGAAGTGTAAAAGATGCATGAGTGGTGTGTAAATTATACTTTATCTGTGTATTTATGGTGTGTTTAAGTAACGTCGGAATAGTTGATCGCACATGAACTCCACCACAAAGTGGAAAACTCCTCAAGATCTCGAGTCCGAGATTCCGGTGGATACAGCGTCCGTTTTGATGGGAAATTTGTTGAAATGTTTTTTTTTTTTTTTTTTTTTTTTAGATTAAAACTAGCTAAGTTGTAGGCCTATGTACAAAATACAATAGTATTGTTCAATTGTGAATATATCCATAAACTGAATAAAAATACATCCAATGTGCATTCTTTATTCATCATTTCAAGAAGAAGAGTCTTGTTGTATTTTTTGTAGAAAAGGTTGTGCTCCAACCAAAATATGAATGCACCTTACGTTGTAATTATGGGTATGTTTAACAATCCCCAGTCACACAGATCCACAAAAATGATTATGTTGCCAGGCCAGTAGTTGGCAATGTCACTTTGTACAAAAAAAAACAAAAAAACTCTTACTCCTATAGACTCAATACGCATGTGCATATCACCATTCTTTTCTCAAATTCGTGTTTTTGAAATTTACACGGAGACAATAACGGTATCGTTTTAAAAAAAAAACGGTTTTCAAAAGTTTTCAGGCCCCTTAAAACACTGTTGTCGTGTAAATGACCGGCAAAAACCCATAAAAGGTTTTCCGTTTTTCGTTGAAAACAGTGTCGTGTAAACGGCCCCTATGGCTTCCCAACTCGTAGCCTGTGAACTTCCCAGGAAGACTTGAATTGAACCATAATTTCTTCTTGTGCTCCCATAGGGAATGATGGGAAATGTAATTTGCTCATCGTTGCGTTTTCAGACAAGCCACTTTTTTTTTCCACCAACGTTACATAAAACATGTAAACTAAATTGTACAGTCAACATTTGCATTAGCTTACTACTACGTTTCAGCCTCAAGCTTTTAATGCTATGACTTAAACTCATAAAGTTTTCCACTGGTAAAAAGGTGGCCTTTATGCATGCTCAACTTGAATATTGAGGATCATTCCAATGTGACTTCAAACTTCATCAAGTAGACGATCATTTTAACAACCTTACAATAAAAAGAGCGTATTCTCTCTTTTTTAAGCTCTCCCCTGAAAGATTTTTTAAGATAGAGTGGTTTGCCTTGCCAAGAACCAACAATCCATTTCGAGGGTGGCCTGCTGGGAAATCTAGCGCTAAATGAGGAGGGAGCTGTGTGCCTTACAGACGCCGACTCCGCGACACCTTCGCCTCGTCCCCTTGACGCATTACGACAGTCCTGTCCGTAATGACATTACCCGACTGAGTGTTGAGAAGCAAACTGCCGCCTGGATTGAATTACCGCGCCCCGCCGTTTCTCTCGCCCGTCAGATTATCAATTTGATGACCGTCGGCAGGAAAGTGGATTTTCAAGATGCTGCCCTGAGTCTCACATGTCTGCTTTCCAAGGCTAAAGATTCGTTTATGACCATGGGTATTCGGATTTTACAAATGAGGTGGTGAAAGGGAATCAAGGGCACGTTTAGGGATGCAACATGGTGCGGAGATGGGATTAACGTTGTGTCAGGTTAGCGTTAATTGCATTGGTAATCTGGGATTTGAGTTAGGATGACAAGAGGCCATTGCACAAGCAGGCGAAACGTTTATCGTCCCAAGCAGAGCAATATTCCTTGAATGTAAAAAGGTTATTTCAGGCTGAAACACTTGAAGGTTAAATCGCATTTGGTTTAATCAGCCCAATGCCATTTGCAGTGGACTCACAAAGGTCTGAATTTGCATTGCTTCTTAGACAAGACAAAAGAAATGAAATATTTAAGCTTTGCATTAAATATGGGCACAAAAAGCACATAAATATAAATACATTAGATGTAATCTGAAATCTTTCCTTATACAGGCCTATAAATTCATGGAATTGACTTTCCTGATATTTCTTGAGTTTAGATTTCCAAAAGAGGCAGAGAACAAGTAAACGACTCATTTATTAAACCCTTAAAGGAACGCTCCGACTTTTTGGGACTTTAGCCTATTCACCTTTAACCTGGCCCTAGCCAGATGAATTTCGCTCCGCCTAGCTTCACTCACATCCATCTGGAACCTCTTCCATTGAGAGTGATTTCTCCAACCAACTTTATGGTTTAGCCAATCAGGACGCAGGGCGGGAGTTTCATAGATGTGACGTAGTGGAGAAGCGACCGTGAGACTGTTTTGATTCAGACAACAATGGCGGCTCGCATCGAGGAAACAAGCGTTAACATTGATGCTGTTAACATTGATTTCATCCGTGTTGTCCAATCTACCTAATATTGTTTCATTAAAAGAACATCAGAGAACGGCTCTTAAGGCTTTTGTTGGTGGAAACGATGTTATATAGATCAGTGCCTTCTCCCGACCGGATTCTTCAGCGTCACGGGTTGGCTTCGGTGTGAGTGGTTGAAATAGCACGTCGATAAAGATGACAGACAAGTGGCTTATCCAATCATATGCAAGGATTTTTGATAAGGCCCAGCCTTCTGAAACACCATTTCAATGGATCGGTTCCAGATGGATGTGAGTGAAGCTAGGCGGAGCGAAATTCATCTGGCAAGGGCCAGGTTAATTCACCTTATCCCCCAGAGTTAGATAAGTCCATACATACCTTTTTCATCTCCGTGCGTGCATAAGTCTGTTTGACGCACCCACCGATAGCCTAGCTTAGCACAAAGACTGGATGTAAATGGTTGCAGCTAGCATACTAATAACCGCAGCACCTGAGACGCGCTCTCTGCTCCTCACCACGGCGCGTCTCAGGTGCTGCGGCTATCACTCCGCCCAAGTAGCAGTGCTTCGCCTTCAGAGAATATAGTTCCCAGTATTTATACGGTTAAAATATGTCTGTGTCTCATGTGACTTTGTTTTTTGTACACTCTGTGACTATACAAATCACAACATGTAAATAGGAAAATGTTTGCGTTATTTTGTCACTTATTTGGATTAGTATGCTAGCTGCAACCATTTACATCCAGTCTTTGTGCTAAGCTAGGCTAGCGGTGGGTGCGTCAAACAGACTTATAGCACGCACAGAGATGAAAAAGGTATGTATGGACTTATCTAACTCTGGGGGATAAGGTGAATAGGCTAAAGTCCCAAAAAGTCGGAGTGTTCCTTTAAATGCACGAATGTTTCCCCAATCATTATTACATATTCGGGTCTTTAGCAACCCGGGTTTATATCTAACACGGATGGATCTCAACCTGTTGCGATACTATAAAACTGTCCTGATATTAGAGTAACTATAACAGACTAAAATAAAGCATATTTTGTTACCTTTTGGAGCTTGGAAGGGTTCATTTTGAGCAGATGTTTTATACTGTCATCACTGTCCTCATCA